TGTGTGTGACTTGTAACCTACCAGTGATTTGTGTGTTTCGCGTGTACTGTCTATTTGAAAGTTTGGATTAGAGTCTTGAAACTGAATTCTTCGCTGTTTGACCCTATTTACTTCCCTCACTCTGCGACATACCTGGTGCCAGCTACGAACATTACCTGATCTCAATTGACAATATTTGCAAGGGAATTTCCACGACCTTACACCGGGTATTCCGACTTCCGTTGCCAACCTCGAATAAAGTCCTCAAAAGTTTCGTGTTTTGTTTAACTTTCTGATGATAAAAAGCGACAATTTTGGGGACTGAATTCGAGATCGGCACCCGAAGTCGTTATACAATCCGGAGAGCTCTTCTATCACCATCCTAGCAGAGCGCTCAATGTGCGAGATGCAAGTGAGTTGTCTGGAGCTGGTCTAGAGTGGCGGCGTAGCCTCGTCGAGCGCCGTTGGGGTTAGGCGACCCATCCTGCGCCAGCGCTGCACCGGACCGCTAGCGCCGAGGGGCGATACGCATACGCATGCAGCGAGCGCATCGAGATACACTTAATTCCTTTCCAGGGGATTTATGAAGTTTCATTTTTCAAATTTATAGATTCTCCTTATCTCACCCCTTTGGACAGGGCACGCACCAACCCAGCACGCGCTTGAGTGTGTGTGTGTGTAGGGGGGTGGGGGGACACCACAGGCCTCCTGCAGCCTGAAGACTCCGGCACCAAATGTCAGCTAACTCTGTGAGTGAGGGTGTCATCGGCAAGCTCGGGAGGTCCCCGTTGACGTCCTCCGGACTGCCCGGAAGGCTTTGGCACCAACTAATTGAAACTTGGTGCCCCAGTACTAAATTCAAGTTTAAACAGGGCGTAGGGCCCCATTGGCTCCCTGAAATTTTCTTGTTTGGTTTAATTTGACCACAAAACTCTTTGTAGCGTCTCAATGGTCATCACAATTGTTTACAAATACACTGGCCAAGCTGTGTAGCCACAGCGCATCTTGGACTTATTGGACCAGAGGCTTTACGAACTTGGTTTTTTACGCCCTTTTACGCCCTGGGCCTGGATTGTGTTGCCCTCCTCATTGAATGCCATGCCATGCCAATGGCCGAAGCGACTTAGGCGTGCTCTGGGTTGCCAGCGACTCATGTAGAACATCTAGATTTTACTGTGTAGAGGGGCAGAAACACGGCTCTGTTACTCCGCTTCAGCCTGGGGCTGCCAAATCCCGGACCCACGGGTACCCGGGTATCCTGGGTAGGAACTAGGTACGCTATGGGTGACAGTGGGAGCCGTACTTCAGCCCGCTGTAGCGAACTGGCACACGCACCTGTTGCTGAGGTCTTCGGCCGAGGTTCGACGAGATCCTTGGGGGGGGGGGGGGGGCGGTCTCATCCGATTGTACGCGCCCGGGTCCGCCTCGTCGATGGTCGGGAACGGCCCGGGGTACGTCCGCAGCAACTGCTGCAGCTGCTGAGCGGAAACCCCACCGGGACACCGGATCTCACGCTAGGAAAATCGGAAAGCACCTGGAAACAAGGTCAGACAAGTGAAGTGTAAATAATAATGCTTTGTACCAGAGTTGCAATTGAGTAAAAGTAACGAGTTTTCATGGTGAAGAATGTCGAGAAAAAGGTTTGGGTTATTTCCACAATTTGGACCTTGCGAACGAAAAGGCTGACTCGGGCTGCGGTCAGGGGCAGGGGCAATAAGAGAAGACACCTTGCGGGAGCTCGGCGCCTGCGAAACTCAGGGTAGGCCAGGCCGCAGCACACGCGTGCACTGTAGGCAAGATGTTGCCTACCTATCAGGCGCTATGAGAGCTGGCGTATGGCTTAACTTGCCCGTTTCGTAACAATTAACAAAGGGCGTGTTTTCTTGATGATCCTAAACGTTCAATGTGTGCACACTGACACCTGACCCTTCCCATCTACGTAAGCTCTCGCTCGCTCCAGCTCCTCGACGAAAAGGCTCCCTTCTGTTCTGTCCCGTGTTAAAATTTGGGGAACTTAGTCAAAGCAATGTCTTCTTGCAGGCACGTCCCTGTAGCTGCTTTGTGACTGAACTCCCACCTAGAATACGACCAGATAATGCACCAACTACCTTGGGGAAGTTTCTGCGCCGCATGTTGTCCAGAGCCTCTTTTGGTCCGCACTGCTCCGGGACGGTCTCGTCGCGCGACGTCACATTCACGTCCCGAGGCCCGACGAACGAGTGGAGGTGCGGCGGCGGCGAGGCTGGCGGCGACGTCTGCGGCACCACGAGGATGTCCACCACGCTGGGCTGCAGGTCCAGGTGGACGCTCGTGGTGCTGCGTCGGCGCTCCCTGCGGGCGGCCGGTCCGTCGGGCTCGTCGGCCGACACGGCCTCGTCGCGCTGCAGGGACGGCCTCGAGCAGAGCGCCGGCGTGGACCTGGTCATGCCCGCCGTGGTGCTGGGCGCGTCCTCGGGCTGAGTGCCGCAGCGAGTCGTCTCGTCCATGGACTTGCTAAGCTCGATGGGGAGTTGGCGCAGCACGGAGGACGACCTGGCGCCGGGGGTCGCGTCGATAGCCACGGACACCTTCTGCACGGCGGGCTTGGCCACCGGGCTGGCCGTGCGGGGCTGGTCCAGGGACGAGCTCGCGGACAGGGGCGCCCGGCTGCTCGGCCGCCGCCCACGCCGGAGGAAGCCGGGCGAGCAGCGCTGCACCACCTCCTGGGCCACCCAGTCGCGCACCTTGCTCATGGAATGTACGTCGGCGGTGTCGTCGCGACTCGTCCTGGCGCAGCCCATGCGCCTGGTGCTGCGGCTGGCGCTGCGCACCGCCTCGTACAGGTCGTCCTTGCTGTCGGCCCGCGGGTGGCCACCCGAAGGCACGCCCACCTGCCGCAGCAGCCATGCAGCAGCAGCCGTCCTGATCGTCCCGGTCGTCGTGGTCTTGGTTCTTATCGGCGTCCGGCCAACGCGCGGGCTGCGGTTCCGCAGGTGGCCGTGTCCGGGTGGTAGGCATTAGTCTTGACGAGCGCCGCGACCACCGCCTTGTGCGGCCGACCCGACCGCCGGCCAATGTAAACAGACGGCAGCCGACAAACGGCGTGTTGTTGAGTTAACCTGAGCACAACGTCCAGTTCGCTAAAGTGTTGCCCAATTCTAAACCGTTGTGCCGCTGTGTTACTTATAGTAACATTCCCCAGGGGTTTCCTCTGTCCCTGTAGTACTTGCTCGAGGAAATATTAGTAATATCTGGTCTGTTCAGGTAGGGTTAATTTTTCTCGGTGTGAAACACAGCAACCTACCGGACAACTGGCTGTGATACTGTACACTTGCATTGTCAAAAGTTAAGAACTGGTCGCCAGCAGCGGAGTAGGTATGTATCTCAAGTATTCACCTTGTGGTGATGTTTTTTACCTGCCCTCACCCATTATTGCTGGGATTCAGTTTCGTTGTTGTTGCAGCAAGAGATGTTTTTCCTTTCTTTTGTATGAAATTCCTTTCATTCTGAATTCTTTCTAGGCGTTCTCTTGTGTTGTAGTTTCAGTCAGCATACCTGCTCAAATAGTAACAATCCTTTACACTTTTGTTTCAGTGATGGAACTTCAGTGTGACATTTGTTTTAACCAATTCGACCTCGACCACCACCGTCCTAAGAGTTTGCCCTGTGGGCACACGGTTTGTCAAGAATGTGTGCAGAATCCTGCCTTGGGAAGGAAGTGCCCAACTTGCAGGAAGGTCAGTAAATAAAATAAAAAGCTTCAGCCGTGCAGTTGTGTTATTGCATTTATTGCAGTTGATCCTTAATTTTGCATGTACGCAACATTATCATGCAAGTTGTTTTCATCTCCTTTGCTAATTGAAAAAGAGATAGAAAATTAGTCCATTTAACATTGAACTACTTGCTGCCCTTTTCTTAGACGTTGAGACTATGTGATGTTGAGTATTTTGTATCAATAGATGATTAGGTACCGTTTTTACTTAATTCTTAACTGTAGAAAAGGGTACAACTTACAATCTAATAAATTTTTGGGGGCAATTTATTCCTTAAACATTTGATTCTGTGATTGTTTGGTTTTTGAAGATAATTTCTCATAAGCTTAGTATCACTTTTGATTAAATAAGAAAATTATCTTTGATTGGAATGGGCACACTTTTTAATAGCATTAAAATTGTCAATTTAAAAACTAATGGACAACCATGCACAATGTTTGCAGTAGGGAACTTCCCTCTTGTGTTGTCCAAAAATACCTTGCTTCCGGAATATTTGTGTGCATCGTGTGCATTGTGCAATGTTCTCTCAGGATCTGGGCGTTGACCCCGCCGACCTCCCCGACACCATCCTAGCGATCAGAATGATTGAAAACGACGGCGCCCCTCCTCGCAAGAAGCCTAAGACAGAGGAGACTGAGGTCCAGCAGCTGCGGCGGGGCGTGGAAGCAGGACGGAAGGTGGTGGAGGTGCTGCGGCTGGTGGTGCCCAAGGCCGTGGAGGCCCTCAACCGCCAGCTGGACTCGTCGGTCGCCCAGCTGCGCCAGTTGGAGGAGACCCTGGAGCTGCAGGTGCAGAGGGGGACGGCGGGCGGCGAGGTCAGCGACCCGGTTGCGGAGCAGCTGCAGCTGGCGGTGCAGCTGGAGGACAGCCTGCGCCTGCTGACCGCCAACAAGTGCAGCGTGGTGGCGGAGGAGGAGGACGGTGCCACCTGGCGGTCCAGCGCGCCGCTCGGTGGATTCAGCGACATCCTGCGGCTTCTGTTGCTGCAGCTGCGGGCGGACGGCCAGCTGGAGAAGGTAGGCAAACAGTCAGACGGACAAGATGCTGATCCTCTCGGTGTGTTGCTTACATCTGTACTCTTCTCGCCAGGTGGACGTGGCCGCTTTTCCTGACACCTCTGGAGTTTTTGTGGGACCGCCCATCATCTCGGTTCTAGAGACAACTGAAAATGATTTTAAAGATGGCCAATTTAAAGTTAATGACATTCTTCTAAACCAGCCACGATGGAGAAACACTCGCAGCTTAAAGTGCTCTCACGGCGATGGTCTGGAGGAGCTGCTGCGCGTCGTTGCTCCTCAGCTCGAGGAACTGCAGATTAAACGTCAGGTTCAGCCGAGTGTGATGCTCGAAGTTGAGAAAATGACGTCAATCAAAAGACTAGCCGTAAAGTATGTTCAAGATAAATCCCTGGACTACCCGGACCTCCCGTTGCAGCTCGAGGAGCTTAAGATAACTTTCCC